GGACATCTAGTCTGTTGTTATGGGAAGTAAATGAAAACCCAAATCCCACATTCCTCTCATGTCTATGATGGATGTTGCTGGTGGTCTCCTTTAAATGCTCCAGAACATGATTTTTGCATGGCCTACCCTTCCCCCATTAGAGTAGTAGAAGCAAACTAGACATCTCTTATTTTTTAATTTTAAAATCTTATCCTTTAAAGCTAGTTAAAGCAAACATAGTGGTTACAAACACATATAAGAATTTCATATGAGAAATCTGAAATGACAGCAGTTTCAAATGCTGCCTTGGAGGGGGCTTTCACTTTCACTTGGATGAAAGGCGGGAACTAAGGAAGAAGGATCAGACTCTGGGGTGCTGACCCAACCCTCAGGAGCTCTTGGAAGACACTCTGAATACAGGGTAATCAAATCAACAACCCCAACCTGCCTAGGAGGAAGGACCAGAGGCCCTAGAGTACCCCTTGGTAAATAAGGGAAGTTCTACATTCATTTATCTCCTTAGAACCTAGTGAAGGTTATGTTATACCCCATTTTGCAGATGAGAAAACAAGTTCAGAGAGATCAAGTAACTTTCCCAGGGTCACATAGCTAGTAAGTGGACGTTCTCAGACACCTACTCTTGCATAACCCCCAAGCTTGTGCCGTAGCAGGAGACTGCTTCCCCTGACCAGTCACTGAAACAAAATTTCCTGAATGATCCTACTTGGTGAGAATGTACAGTTTTGTCCAGAAAACACCTGCCTGCTCCAGTACCTAAAACAAACCTGAAACTTATATTTCAGTTTTAAAATATTCCTAGAGCTCCCCACACCCATCAACTCTGTTCATCTTTCTCAGTCACAGCTCATGGTGACCTGTCTAGACTGGCTTCTGCCTGCTGGCCTGGTGGCCACCTACACATCTTTCAGAGACAACGCCAGGGCCATCTCCTCAAGGAAGACGGCAGCCACCCACCTCCACCCCTGAACACACTCTCCCTCCTCAGTGCTGGAGGCAGACAGGGGTTCAAATCTGTACTCTGCCACTTACCAGTTTGGGGACCTTGGGAAGTTACTTCTATGTACCTTGGTTTCCTCATCTACAAAATGGGACTGAAGTAGTCCCTACCTCCTAAGGCTGCTGTGAGACTTTAAAGATAGAATTCCTGCAAAACGCCTACCAGCAGAGCTTGGTGCATAGTAAATGTCCCATAAATGTCGGCTATCGTTGCCTTTATCACTGTGCCTGGGACCTTATTCTCTCTTGAAGTGCATATTTGTTTCTCCTGGGCTAGGCAGTGCTCTCCTTGAGGGCAGCCACCTGACACAAAGGGGGTGTCATGCTCATGACATGAGCAGAGACTCATGGGCAAATAGACCTGGGGGGATGTCTCAATGCTGCTCAGAGTCTGCCTCAGTGTCCAGCACACCGAGTTCTCTTGTCCCCTGGTCACTGGCTGGATCCTTCATGAAAAGCCAGGGATGGCAGGACATGCTCCCTTCCTACAACTATACAAAGAACACCATCCTGCATTCATGGATCACTTTCCCCATTCTAGGTATCTAGTTCCACCACCTGAATACGTAGATTATTGAACAGCACCATCACCCCATCGTGAAACAAGCCCAGCTTCTCAGAGGCCACCAAGGCAGCCTCTAGCGGAAGAACAACTGCACTTGGACAGCGCCATCCCACCTGGCCTGGTGTGACCTCCAGCCACAGCGCCATGGGACCTTCGAGGAAGCCATCATCATACCTTAGCATAGCCCAATCCAACATTCCTGCGCTGGAAGTGATGGGAGGGGACAGCAGGAGAGTTGCCAACCCAAGTCGAATGGCAGCAGCTGTTCTGTTCCTGCTTCAACAGAGTCCCACCCCACCCCCCCAAAGTGCTGCTGGCAAGCATCTGAGCTCAGCTCTGTCATCGGCATTCACAACCCCAAGCCTGGCCTTGTCTTTAACCTGCTCCTTCCTCTAGTGACAAGAACCATGTGGGCCTGCTCTGCATAGTTCTGACTGCAGGTTGGGTGAGAATGATTGGGAATTTCATGGGAATAAATGAACTCATTTTGACGAGGCTAGATGACTGTAATTGCTTACTTTCTGCACTGCTTAATTTTGTTACATGTAAGAGACTGCATATTGGAATTTTAGATGTCTGTAGCATTAAAAATCTCTATCCCTCTTTTTTTTTTCTTTTCAAAGTAGAACAAGTCAATTTTCAGGATTCTTCCACTGATACAGAAGGTCTTAGGTTTACAACATCCTGGTTGAACCTTCTGTTCTGATCATGGGAGTGGATATGGAGGCTCCTCCTTAACTCTGAATGATACTTCAGGTGACCTTCTGAGGCTGGTGGTGAAGGCCAGGTTCTTCAGATACACAAGGGAGGGTCAGAGGTTAGGACAGTTTTATCAGGGTATGCATTTGGTGACTGCTCAGTTGTCTAGATGATAAGACCTAGAATCTTAAATCTAAGTTCTTAAGTGGGGAAATAAACCTGCCATTCTTGGTGACTACGAACCTGTGTGAGGGACAGAGGCTGACTCCCCAGTGAGGGCAGGAAAGACAAGACCTGGCTGCTAGCAGCACCTTCGTCCTTAATTTCTTAATTAATAAGGCAGCAATGCCGCAGTGTGCGAAGCAAACTGCCTGGGTCCCAATCCCAATTCGGCCACTTGCTGTGTGAAGCTGAGTGACTTCTTCATTCACTCAACCTCTCTCTGCCCCTGGCTTTCTTGTGGGGATGGTGACCGTGTGGTCCAGGACCTGGCAGGTAGTAAGCAAAACACAGAAGTGGCAGCCTCCAGATGATGCTCTAGAACACCCAGGTGCAGAAATGGCTCCCTGGTTCACGGTTGGTGAGGGGGGATGCCCTTCTTCCCTCTTCTCACTCCTTGTGGGCTGAAATACAAGGTCTGCAGGATGTGGGGACTGGGAGGGCCTTGACCACAGGATGGAAATCAATCTTTTACAGATGACCATGAGAGGCAGGGGAGGGGAGGTGGAAGGAAATTTAGCATGTATCAATTTTTAAGACCATTCAATGATATAACTAAGAATCTAAGATCTGGCAGAGTGGGGGTTAGACACAAAGTCTGGGACAGACTCCCCTAAGAAGGGTCAGCTCAGGATGCAATATGGAACTTCTTCCTTCCCTGGGAAGGTGTATCTTAAATTTTTACCTAAACCTCTCCAGGTCTCTAGAAAGATGAAATGCAGTGGTATGGAGTAGCCCTCTGGATTCTTATGCAGAGAATAACCCTGCAGACCCTCACTCTCCAGGCCTGGCTGTCCACCCCCACTGTGCCTGCCACCCCGCCACAGGGCCAGCTCTGAATGCAGAGCCTGGAGGTTTGGGAGGTCATGGCTCCAATTCTCTTGCAGGAGCACCTGCCTGTCCACCCATAGCCCTGGGCAGTCTATGGCCTCTTTCTGAACACAGACCATGGGCCTACTCATTGGTTCAGCACTGTCAAAATGGCAGAGGTGCTGGGATGAGCTGGGAGAGAGTATGGCAGATCCTAGCTCCTGCCAGGTCTGGTTTTGGCTCCAGGGCATCTAGTCTACACATGGAAAGAATCTTCCCCCTTCTACACAGGACAAGGACTCTGTCTTCTTGCTGTTTAACGCTTTCAGAGGTTTTTCATCCCCTAAGAACTCCCCTGACCAGCAGCCCAGCCAGCCAGCTGCTCCAAGACTTTCCCTTTCACCCCTTCCCCGCCCCCAGCTTCTTATTCCAAGTCCTGACATCATGAACCATTTGCAATTCCATCCCTAATGCACAGTCCTTTTTCCTGTCTGGTGGAAATATCCTCCTGTCCCCTTCATCTGTTTTACCTGATTCATTCTTTCACACCCAACTCTCACATCATCTTGCCCATGAAGCCTCCACTGGCTGATTCCTCTCGGGTGTCTGTTTTCTGTGCTCTCATACTTCCTTCTGGAGACTTCCATCAGAGTATCCACCGCTCTCTGTGTTTTCTCCTCTCTATGGTCTGCTCTCATTGCAGTGTGTTTCTATGCACTAGCATGACTTCTGTCTTTGCATCTTCAGTGTTTAGAAATATGTGAGTGACTTGGAAGAATCTACGCAAACCATTCATAATTCAAGAATAAGCGTGGCCCAAGCATTTAAGCATCTCACCAGATGCAAAATGATTGCACATAGACAACAGTGAATACAAAAGGAACTTCACAAATCCGTCGCTCTGAGGACAAAGAGGGAACAGCATAAACTCAGTGACAGGGTGGGAGATACAGGGTGGGAGATTCTGGCCCAGGAGCTCAACATCTCGGAGGCAAAGGCACGTGGGACGCAGCCCTGCCACCCCGTGGATCCTGGAGGGCAATGCTCACTTTGTAAATGAAGCGTCTACTCCACCTGCAGCCACCCTGTGACTCCATCTGAACAACTGGTGTGACAGTGCCACCCTTCTAGGCCAAATAGACTGCGAGTACCGTCTGGGCAGGAAATTTGCTTAAAACACTTAATTTTTCAAATAAAAACCACATTTTAATCCAAACCAGAAAAATCTGTTACATGTTATTCCGAGAAACACAGAGAAGGCTTAGAAATGTGTGTCACAGTACTGTGTGGAATTTCTTAAGGAGACCGTACCACCACCACGACTCTCTCGGGACAGCATGCTGATTCTCCCACAGTGGGGATACATCCCGGAGTGGATGCACAGAGGCAGTGAACTCAACTGTAGCATGTTAAAAACCCAAGATGACCAGAAGGGTGGTAACATCAACATATTTTTTGAATTGGAGACATTGCTAACTTTGAATGATTAACTCCAAGAGTCACACAAATGTACAGAGGAAGCTCAACTCTGAAAAATTCTAGGTTTGATGCTTTGTTACTTAAGCCATATCCTCTGTTGAATACACACACACACACACACACACACACACACTGTGGGACAGAACATGCATCTCTTAGTTCCAGATGCACAGAAATCTCTGAAGCACTTTGCAAACTTGACCGGGAAATCCAAACATTCAAATGGTCTTACCCTGAGGTAGTTGAGGGTGAAGTTCGTTAGACCCATCCTGGTGATGTTTTTGGACAGCTGATCCAGGACCTGAGGATCTTGTGCCTAAACAAACAAACAAACAAAAATCACATATTTTATTCCTGTGAGGGGGTCCCACAAAAATCTTAGACTGTGCTGCTGCTGTTAAGAAATGCAATCTTGACACTGTCGATTTTTCTTGGAGGGACAGATTGCTGGAGACAATTTAATTTACATTTTGAAGACACTTGCATGTAGCACTCAAGGACATTTTTGGATCAATTGTGCAAGACTAGGGAAAATCAAACTGCCTCAGATGCGCATTCAGTCCTAGGGAGAAATGACGTTACTTTCTCTGAAAGAGGCCCTGGCGCTGTGTCTTCAGGCTGAGAGCCACTGAGCCCTGCCAGGAGAATTCCAGGCCAGAGCCCTGAATTCAGGCGCCTCTGAACTTGGCAGAGCTGTGCCTTTGTTTCCCACTGAGATAGTGGTGCCGTTTTTACAGCTCAGGGTTGAGAACTGTATTTGAAAACTTTGCAACCACTATGGAAAAATATATATGTATAATATGGAGAGAGAGGGAGAGGGAGGGAGAGCGAAAGTGAGAGAGAGAAAGAAACACCTTCCTGTTAAGATGAGGCTAGAAATAACTATCCTTGACAATTTTCATCCTGCAGGACTTTAAGGGTAAGGATCACATTTTCCAAAAATTTGAGCCACATTTTAATATGGATGTAAAATACTATGGCCACCCCAAAATGTTATGTTTGGCCCAACAAAAAATGAAAATTCTTTCTGCATTCCATTTTAAAATGAGTTTCTTGGTTGGTGTGCTTTCTTTCTGCTCGTCTTGATTCTTTCTTACTTAGTGTAAACAAACTGACCTTATGCAGAGGGAGGACTAAGTATATGACCCTTTGCCTCCACATCTGCATTCATGATACTACCTAGGTTATAGTAAATTGACTTTAACTTATTCTTTTCTCTATTTATTCTTACAGTGATACTATCAATTGGATCTGTGTATATACACACTTGATCTTAGCCAAAAGGCCGAGAAGTGATTAGATCTGTGTATATAAATAGATTACAAAGCACTGGAGGAAATAGAGGATACAAGTTTCATGTCAATTTCTTGAAAGGCAGTCTTTATGGACATTGAGACTATGTTTACCGAACCTCTCTAGGAAGAGCTGGTTACACAGAGGCATCTACACAGATGCATCAAGCAGTCATGGCCAATGGCAAGAGCTTACATTGCAGTCAGAAGACAGGACGCTAATAGAGGAATAGAAGAATGCATCTGCTGCTGACAATGAAAACTGACCACCAATTCTTGCCGAGGACCTACTGTGTCATTCTAAGTGCTTCACGGTTATTAACTGGTAAATCTCGACTTGATTGATCTGAGACACACTTTATTACTGTACCCTTTGCAGATGAGGGACAGGAAGCACAGAGATCGTGTCATTCTCCCAAGGCCACACATGAACGGGAATAAGACCCTATGCAATCTCCATCTACCCACTCCCTCGGCTGCATCTCAGTCTATTTTGAGAATAATCAGAGTGGCTAATCCAGACTTCTTCCAGGACAGTGAGGGATGAGAACTGGGCTCTAAAAACCATGAAGGACATGGATAGTCAGAAAGGAGGTGCAGAACCTGTCTCATAGGGATGTTGGGTCAGAAACGCCCGAAAATCAGAGAACCCAAGGGCAGCGGAGAAGATAGAGATTGGCTAACCTAACAGGACAAGAAGGTGGGGGGCAAAATCCTGGAGCCAGACAGCTGGGAGACACAGGCTGGTCGCCATGAGCTATATAGTCCGGAACCAACTGAGCCAAAACATTGGTTTTGCCACTCTGGGGCTGAAAAACATTGGAAAATTTATCAAACTTCTCTGAGCCTCAGTTTTCTCATTTCTCAAGTAGGAATAATAAGAACTTGCCTCGGTAAGCCACCGTGAGAATAAAAATCGTGATGTATGCAAAATGTTTAGTGCAAGGCCTGGCATAGCAAACACTCATAAATGCTACCCACTGCGATTTTATTCTCTTTCGATTACTCCAGGTTTAAAAATCAGGTTCATTAACTCTGATTTTGTTCTAAAAGGTTGTTTTTTTTTTTTTTTTTTCTGCTGCTTTGTGCAGAGCAGAGAAGGAACTCTCTTCAGCCGATGCTGACTCCTTCCTCAGGGATCACACTGACTACTTCCTCCTGTCCTTGTGAACAGAGCTCCAGAGTGGTATCCAATCCACACTTGACCTAGTTGGGGCTCAATAAAGTTGATATGATTGATGGCCAAATGAAACCAAGAGAACCCCAAACATTCCACCTCAAATCCAGCACCACCGTTAGGAAGGACCGACTCCTGTAGACACAGACCTGAAGGTGCGGGTGTTCTGCATGTCATCAGAAGGTTTTAATCAAAGTTGGAAACGGCTCCTGTTTAATTTACACCCCAGTTTATATGTAACAGGTTTATTAGCCCAGGCCGAGCCCTGCTTGATAATGACTGAATGGAATTTAAGAAAAAAACAAACCATTTATTGAGGTAACTTCAATTTGGAGTTAAAATAATAAAGAATTTAAAATAGTCTCAAAAATAACAAAGTACTGAAAATAGTCTCACAATGCCCCAAACTTGGAAACAAAGTCATCAAAACATAGGCCTGTGGTTTAAAATTGTTGAGGGCAAAACTCAATATTTAGAGTTTATTACCTAAAGCGTGACGAATGGAGTTTTTTCTCACACACACACACACACACACACACACACACAGAGGGAGGGAGAGAACTAGGTTCTTCCACTGGAGAAAAATGAAGTGAGGAAAAAAAAAGCAAAGAAAGTAAAATAGGAATTAAATTACTTACATGCATGGCTAGAATGCTTCTCGGGACTAACTCTCGGTATTGTCTAATGGTAAAGTGCCATGTTTTTATTCTCATGAGATCATCAAAGGTGAACTCCAAGATCAGCCTGCCTTCTGTACACACCTAAAAGAAACAAAAACACTCATTTGCTATGCATTTTGCAGGAGCCACATTTTAAAACTCACTGAGTTCTTAACACGGTGCTTAACCCCTTACTGTCTTTGAGTGGTGCTGGTTCTTGGCAAGAGACTTGACACAAGTGGTTCACTCATAACACAACGGGGACAGGTTGTCAGCTCCAGATCTACGGGTTGCAAAGACAGCACAATGGCTTTCCAGCCACGAGGTGCTAGTGTCTCTGTTAACTGCTGCTGACACTAGGAACTTCCATTTCTCCTTCTGTATACATGGAGACAGAACGCATCTCATAGGGATGTTGGGTCAAAAACGCCCAGCACATGGGATACACCCTCACAAGGGTTCTCTCCCACTTCCCACCTTTCCTCACATTCCTTGTTCTTCCGTGGTGTGAGCTTTTCTCACCTGAGATGGGAGTGGTGGTAGCCCCTATTGGTCCAGTTTAAAGAGTTACAACTCATTAATCAGCCTTCGGGAAGCAGTACGAAAAAGTGGTTAGAGGACTTAAATTTTTACTCATTCTTGAACTTTGGGAAAAGCAAATAAATCCCCTAAATTCCACATTCCTTACCTATAAAAAGGGATAACAATATTCATAGGTAGGAGAGTGAGAAAAATAAATGGAAGGAAATTAAGTATGTGGATTGCTAAGTAGAATGGCAGTGATTTACACCTGATGGACAAGAATCAGCCAAAGATAGTGCTGAAGCCTAGACCTGGTTGTCCCAAGGTGCTTGCTGAGCCGTGGGAGTTCCTAGGAGGCATCCTGGGGCTCTATTGGGAGTAACTGTGCGTCTACCCTCTACCCTGAATTCTAACCTCCACCCACTTACTGGATTCCACCAGAGTTCCTTTGATTATATCTGTTTTAACATATTGGACTTCTTCTTCTTCTTCTTTTTTTTTTTTTTTTTTTAGAGAGAGAGAGAGAGAGAAATTCTTTATAATATTTATTTTTCAGTTTTTGGTGGACACAACATCTTTATTTTATTTTATGTGGTGCTCAGGATCGAACCCAGCGCCCCGGCCATGCCAGGCGAGCGTGTTACTGCTTGAGCCATATCCCCAGCCCATATTGGACTTCTTATCAAGATTTATTTGCAGAGAGATTTCCTAGATTAAATGAAACCCACAAAACTCTGGAAACTTTTAAGTACACATTTATAAGTAAATAAATAGTAACCAAATAGAGGCAATGAGTATGACTAAAACTACAGTCCATGAAGATGGTTAACAATTTATATCAACCTTTTATGAAATATTACTGACCAATTTCCTTGTTAGAAATTTAATACAAAATGTCACCATTTATTGAGTTATAGCTATGTCCTCAGAACTAGGCTAGGTGCCTTCCACACACTCTGATTGAAGGTAATATTTCCTTTAACAAGCCAAAAATAGTACAGAATTACTATCAAGTGCTAATAGAGCACTGTTCAAGAAAGACGCTGTGAACTTCTGCCATCTTTTTAATCAAAGATCTTAGAAACACTGTAAGATAATTATTGATAAGCTGAGTGAAGACCTCTACCTCAGATCCAATTAGCAAGATCTGTGGGTGATTTTAGGCATTTGGGCACCCTGCCCCCAAAACCCTGGGTCAGATCACCTTCAGAGCCTCATTTCTGGATTTTTTTTAGCCATGAGAGCTGAGGACACAAGAATGTGGAAGACTCCAGGGTCCCAAAATACTTCCCTGAGAGCAGTCTCAGCATTGGAATTCATTTACCACGGTTTTCCAAAGAGTTGTGTGGAGATCAAGCGGCACAATTCTCCCAGGGGTGTTAGTGTGACAGAAGCCACCCACGGAGACAACTTTAACAAAAGGGAGGTAGATCCAGCCAGCCATCAACAGCAGAATGTCCTGACAATATGGGACAGGGATATTTGGAGCTATAATCCTCTTCTTAAAGAGAGGGGATTATTGGATATTTAAACAAATATTACCCCAGTTAAATGTCAGGCTTTTTTATTATCTAATCTATTTGTTTTGTGTTTATGAACCACAAACTCAGGGCAGGTAGAGGTTTTGGTTTCCTTCTACTGAACAGAATTTCATAATGGGAAGGCATGTATGCAGTCCTTCTGATGGATTACTCAATTGGAGCATCTGTAAGGTCAAGCTAAATTGTGTTCTTTGCACTGTGACATAGCAAGCCAGTTGGGGACCTCTCTTGCAGTCAAACAGTCACAGGCCTACCAAATGGAAAATTGTTACAAGCCTTGGGCTCCTTCTCTTTAAGTCCAAACCAAGGAGATAACTTTTATCAGGACATACCATGTGCAAGATGGACATCCTTCGAGTGCAATCTGAGATGGCTGTGTTGGGTGTGTGTGTGTTTAAGAAAAATTAAATGACTTCCTTGAATGAAAGAACGAAGGAGAATTTTGGTCACTCTTCGTATTCCCCACATAATTACCCACAGCTTCATTCCAGGTCCTAGGCAGCTCTCTGCTCTCATAATGGAAGTTAAATGAAACCAGAGGCTTTGTGATTTGTTTTATATGCAACATTCAGGAAACGGAATAGAGGCACATATGAAAAAATATATGTATTCCTTGCTCGGAAATGGTAAAAAAAAAAAAAAAGATAGGCATAGCCTTCGAAAGGAAATTAATATCTTTTCCCTTCAAAAAATATTCTGTGCATTACTCTTAATCAATACAATTAATGTAGCTTTTATCTAAAGTTGGCCTTTTTTTTTTAAAGCTGCCTTTCCCTTGGAATCCAAAATCAAAAGGGTCCCCAATTAAGAAAACATTTTCTGTTGTGCTGAATTCATGTTACCGTACTGTGAGCTCTGACATTTTGTTTCTGTGGTAACCAAAATCAGCTGATTAGTTGGCATGGCAACAGAAAAGATGTAATCCCAGCAGACACACTCTAATCAATGCCCCCAGCACAGATGGTCTCCGGAGGATCAACAAGAAAGAGGCTGGCAGGCATTCAGCAGATCACGTGCTACCTTGAGACTAGGCCAGGAACAAGAGAACTAAAAAAGAACATTTCTCAAACTAACCGGTAGCTTTTTAACCCTTTTCTTTCTTTGACTAATTGTAAAGCAACATGGACCTGACCACGTAGTTGTATAATACAATGCTTCTCATACTGCTGTTATGAAATAAAGTGTGCCTTTTTAGGTGGGAGTGCTTATTTAATTTCCTTAGTCTTTATGCTTGAACAGCCTGCATGGCATAGTGCTTTCAGATTAATGGTTGCATAAAGCTCTCTGGATCTTACTTAGAGATCCCTGTGTGTGTAAATGCACATTAAAGCAACATGATCATTGCCAATAGTTTGGCAAAAGTCAGAGGAAGAACAGAAATTCTGGAGAGTTACGTGGTATGCTGGCTAAGGTAAGACGGGCTGTCAAAGACACAAGGGAGTGTTCATCCAGAAAAACTGGCTGGCCACTTTCAGAGTATGTTTTTTACAGTAGTTAGTAATTTCACAATAAATAATTAAGAACAGAGAAAACACCACCCTATATTCACAGAGGTGGTAAAGGTGTCCAGGATGGCTGTGACTCTTGTCTCAGGTTGCAAAACCTAAAACTACCCAAGAATGTCACTGACAGTGTTCCTCTCCGCGTCTGCCACTGTTCGAAGCCTCAAATTTAATTGTAACTCAGGGGTCTTTGCTTCTGCAAAGCTTGATGCCTGTTCTGATTATTAAGCTTTGTTTTCTATTTGATTCAAAATTGAAAGCATAAAAGAAAGGCCCTAAAATGTGTGTTTTAAAATTCTAATTGCATATTTATCCATAATCTATAATGTTCCTGATATCAGGAAATTGCAAAATGCTCACTATACCCCTGAGGAATATTTAATATTACTGTTGATTAGGACTGCGGCTGAATTTTGATTCACTAGGTGACCAAATTTTCATAAAAGCAACCGAGAACCACTGGGTCAAATGCTATTTGGGGAACGAGAGTTTATTGATAGTCTAAATTAGACCAACATGATGCTGCTCACAGATATATAATGTGCCAGGTACTAATAGCAAAAATAAATAAATAAATAAACACTGGCTTCCCAAGTTTTTCTTTGTGATACTGAAAGGTCATTAGCCCACTGTTTCATTCTGAATCGCCATGGTATTTTATTATATGAGGATGAGTTATTTTTAATGAATATAAGAGCAAAAGAAAAATTGGAAAGATTCTTTGGTTAGTGCAATAATCCCTAAGTCAACAAGAGAAGGAAGGAAGGACAGAAGAATACAACAAATGAATTTTAACAAATTTCCTAAAAATAAGCGTACATAAAATTAGCACTCGGACTAGGTGCCTATAAACTAATCTCCCTGTGATATTGTTCATCACAGTCACGGTAGGGAAATATTCATTACATGAGTGGACAGACAAGCTGCTGTGGAGTGGAGTGAGATGGGTGGTCCAAACAACTGGTGCTTGGGGCCAAGGGAGCCACGTTCAAGGGAGTACTTGGGTCTCTCTGGTGGCTTGGGTGCCCGAACAAACCCCTCAACCATCTGGGAGGGGAGGATTCCAGGAAAAGAAAGAATGGGACCCAGGAAAACCTTGGTTTCTTGATGGGAATGAAACTAGCACTTTATCAGTTCATTGGAAGAATGCAAATCTTTTTGATCTAAAATAAATCTGGAATGTTGAGCACTTTGCCTTCAGAGCAACTAACTGTGTTCATTAATGAGAAAGTTTTGGCCTGAGAAAGAAAGAAACTGAGAAAATATATAAAAGGGCTGCTATGAAATGCACTTTTATTTTCGATGTCTGCAGATGTTACAAGTTGCTCCTTCATTAAGGCAAAGCCTTATTTAATTACCATGGGTTTTTTTTTTTTGGTCCCTCAAAGCATAAGGAGGTGGTATGTTTTCCTTGAATTACCTTAAAGTAACATTAAGGAGAGAGAGAGGGGAGAGAGAGAAAGAGAGAAAGAGAGAGAGAGAGAGAGAGAGAGAGAGAGAGAGAGAACTGACAGTGAAGTAGCAGAAGCAGATTTTCTCTGCAGTGCTCAGACTCCGTAACATTGGAGATGAACCGTGGAATCCATGGGAAGAAAGAAACCACCATCCAGGTGCCATTCCTTTCCATATAGGAAGCTCCTCCCTCAGGGTCTTCTGCACTTCATGTGGGGCTTCTTTGTCTCCAAACCACAACTTTCCTCTCTGCCCAGTTCTTGAAACAGGAAGAAAGAGAGAACCCAACCCTGTCGCACATTTAAAACGTCTAGTGTCAAAATCAGGACACCATAGAATCAGTGGCATTTTACTGCTTATCTGTGTATTTTATAAACATTTCCTTTGCTGTGGGCACCAGCCTGGGCACCAGAAAGATTAAACTGAGCCACTGATATCAGTGAATAAATAAGAAACATTGTATTTTTATTCTTGCTGCAAAGCTGCCTAAGTAACAAATACATCTTCGGTTTTATGGTTTGGTAATTAACCCTGATGATTCAATGTCTTTTAACTATAAAGAAAGGGTTGTCATATGTGTTTTGTACTAAGAGATTGCTGCTGTCATTAGTATCATAAATTAGTTTTACATGGAGTCTTAGCCCAAATGCAGGGAACCAGCGTGCATTAAAATGAATTTCTGGGGGCTGGGGGTGTGAATCTGTGGTCCAGTGTGTGCTCACAGGCGTGAGACCCTCGATCAAACCCCAGTACCCCCAAAATAAATGAATAAATAAATTAAATAATCTGCCAGATTCTTTAAGTAAATATCTGTCCTTACTCATTTTTCTACTAGAGAGAGGACATTAAGGGGTAATCTGCAGTGTTCTAGAAAGGTCTTTGGTAAAAAAGAGGGTCCATACCAATTTTCTGTAGAGGGCCTGGATGGCAGGGGTAAGATGTACAGAAGATGAGGCTGAATCTTCATCTCTTCTTCTCCTTCTTTTTTTTTTCTTTTTCTTTTTCTTTGTACCAGGGATTGAACCCAGGGACATCTTACTACTAAGGCACATCCCCAGCCCTTTTTATTTCTTATTTTGAGACAGTGTCTCACTAAGTTGCTGAGGCTGGCTGTGAGCTTGGGATCCTCCTGCCTCAGCCTGGGGGGCTGCTGGGATCACACGGTGAGACGCCCCCGGGCTCTGTCTCTTCTATCTGTACCTCAAGTCCTTCTCCGAGCTGCCTGGGCAGGGCATTCTCTGGACCTCCCCTCCTGTCTTAATCGCTCTCTCTGTCTCCACTGTACTCACTTGCTGGGCAGCTCACTTACCAACCACAGAACTCTTAAAAAAATATGGGAGAAACCCTTTAAAGCCTGAATTCCCTACTTTCATTCACTACATATTATGGTTTTTATATTCCTTGCTCATCACAGATTGGTTGTGATTGCTAGAATTTTTCTCCCTGTTTGTTAACATTTGAATCTGGCTTTATTTGTTTATTTGTTTTTAAATAATACAGTGTGAAAACTGCACCTTAGGAACATGCTCTTTCGGCTGTGGAAGATTCTTTGTGCACCACATGCAAACCCAGATTTAGCTACTAAGGCCAGAGGAAGTCGCACACGAGAGTCAGGCCTCTCTCTGGGAGCCGAAGGTATCTGAGAGACCAGAGGTCAGCTCAATGTTCCCGAAGAAAGTGATTATTAGAAACCTTCATTCATTCAGAGAAGGAAATGGCAGAGTGCTCCGGGCCCGGCCTACCTTGGTGAACATGGGCTTCCCATGCTGGGTGACCATGGCACACTGGTCGCAGTCCACCGTGATGGAGGAGTTGTGGTAGGATTCTTTCGAGTGTTTGAGAATGTAATACAGGTCGGTCACCCCTCCTTCAAACACAGTGCTAAAGTAACGGGGGATGAGGGTCCTGCCAATGGCTGGGAGAGAAATACAGAGAAACAAGCCGTTAACAAAAACATCCCGCTAGTCCCACATGCCCCACCCCACCGCCAACCCTGTGGCTGGATGCGAGTCATCTCCAGAAACCACACCAGGAGGTGATTTTTCTTGGTAAACAGCCACGACCCTTCTGGGTTGTGGCTCATAAAACACAATCTCCAACTATTCAACAAAAATGTGGACTCTCTCCTCTCCTCCACGTTTTTATGCCCAGTAAAATAAGATTTAATAGTTTTAAAATAACGAGAGGGCTACATTTACTACTTTGAACCTTGCATGTACTTTAAAAAAAATCTTTGTTCTTTTTAGATATAAATGAAAGTAGAGTGTATTTTGACATATTATACCTTATTCTAATTAGGATCCCATTTCTTGTGGTCAATAGTACCCTTTCATTCACTCAGAGAAGGAAATGCAGACATGATGTGAAGATTCACTGTGATGTATTCATATGGGAACATAAGAAAATAATGTCTGATTCATTTTATTGTTTTTCCTATTCCTAACCGCACCCGCTTCATTCCTCTTTGTCTAATCCAATGAACTTCTATTCTTCCCCTCACCTCCTCCTCCTTATTGTGGGTTAGCTTTCACATGTCAGAGAGAAAATTTGAATTTTGGTTTTTGGGATTGGTGTCTTTCACTTAGCATGATAGTCTACAGATCCATCCATTTACCAGCAAAAGTCATACATACAAAAGTCATACACACTCCGTGTGTCTGCCTTTTTATGGCTGAGTAATATTCCATTGTGTATACATACAACATTTTCTTTATCTATTCATCTGTTGTAGGGCACCTAGGTTGGTTCTATAGCTTACTATTGTGAGTTGAGCTGCTATAAACATTATATTTTTAAGTAAACCCATTTTCAACAAATAAGATTGGTCCAGTCTACTTGTGTTTTTCAATATATCATTTATAGACCAAATTACCCATGTATATTTTATGCATTACTAGTAATAATAATGTAAAGTTGAATGCCATGAGGCTTTGAAGTTTGGGAAGTACCCCTGACATTTTCTCATTGAATCTTCAGAACAACCCCAAAAAGATCTTATCATGAAAAACAAAATGTTTCTGAATGCTTCTCAGTCTCAGGGTCGAGACCCCAAACATCTTACTTCGGAAAAAAAAAAAGTGTCTGAATACTTCTTAGTCACAGGACTTGTAAACAGATATTTGGGGTCTCTAACCCCATATCTGCAAATACCAAAGCATCTGCTCTTTCCAACACTCTGTCTCAAACCACTTTAAAGAACAGAAATCCAGTCCGGGTCTCCTACTCAGAAATGCAGAACTATGCAATTGCTGAGTTTTCGATCTACTTTTGAGCTGGATAAAATCTCTCTATAGACTAAGGAGCCCATTTTAAAAGAACTTGATACCTTCGACTTGGTCTAAATTGGTCTCTTTCATTCCGTGTGTCTGCCGCTGCCCTATTTTAGTCTGAGCGGTTGTGTAGGAGCTGGGCCCTTCTGATAGACAGTACTTAGGGAGCCAGGCCGGGCAGCCATCTGAAATCCTCTTACACTGGAAATCCCAACTCAGAATATCAGAAATTTTGCTTGTGTGCAGATTTCAAGGCAAAGTCCTGAAAGTACTCTCAAGCAACCCAAGGTTTTTAATAAATCTCTTACATTCATTATATAATATCCGGAAAAGACAAAAAAAAATAATGTTTAAGATAAACTATCAAGGAGAGCTTTAGCTAGGAAAGATCACCCAGTTGCCACCTAATGTTTTAAAATATTTAATTTTATTTTGAAAGAATCAGTGTTAATTCATTCCATATGGATCTATAGCTCTTTTGTACAGGGAATTGGGAAAAAAAAAAGTATAAAGAGAATATCCTGCCAAAATGTTTTCTGAAGTGATCTTTAAAGAGTCCCAATATAGATGGTGAGTCTCTGAATAATTTATATGGTTGTTATTGCTTCATATTTGCCTCAGGTAAAATCAATCAACAAGTGTGTGCTCAGTATTCCAGGATCTTGGGCGATTCCATCCCAAATAATCCTTATATGTACATTTCCCAAGTACTTTTTAATCCCCAATACTGCCTGTTCATTTTCTGAAAGTAAAATTCAAATGAGAGTAATTTAAGTCCACCATACACTTCAACATGTGCATAGCTGATATTGTAAATGAAACTCTGTCATCTTAAAACCTTATTGTTCTTCACTAAAATCCAGACAAAATTAATTAATTATTAATTATTATCATTATTAATTATTAATTATTAAATATTCTAACTTAAAGCGAATTACCGTAAATCAGTTCAAGTAATTTGACAATTCGAGATCTGTACTGTTAAGAATAAATACAAATCATAAAAAATGTGGGTTGAAGGGTGAAAATATTTCAGTCCAGCATCCAAGGACTTGTCACATTAAAAAGGGCATGGCAAACAACCTGGCTAGTGACATTGTAGTTTATTCATCAAGAATCCTCCAGAGTTTAATTCCTTTATAGCAGGGTTTCTATGTAGTATCATCATTTCTATTCATAGTATAAGACAAATTGAAAGGAAAGCAAGTTTTAGTTTCTTTCATTTTAAACCTAAATTTGTAATTCCTCCCCGACTCCAGAAAATATACGAATTGTTTAGTAAATATACTTAGAGCATAGTGTAGCTTTGCTCCAGCAATTGCTAACACTCCCGGAAGAAACTGTTGTGGGTATTGGAACTTGTTTCCAGTCCCATTTCCTTGGTCGCACTGCCCGATCATTTTCCCCATGATCTGATTTGGGGCCCTGGTCACAAAGGTCCACTATCCACTGTGGTAAGCTGCTACTCTGGTGGCCCCGATGGACCGTGACAGTGCTGTCCGTGCCTGTGTGTGTAGCCGGCACTCCTTAAATCTGGCTGGGTGCTGTGATCTGCTTCAATCAACAGAATGTGGCACAACAACTTGGAGCTGCACAGAGCAGCAAAACCCAGCTGCTCTAAGGTCACCACGCGGTGAGAAGTCCAACTCAGCCAGGAGGAGCGGCCGCGGGAAGGAGGAGCGTCTCCGATCCAGCAGCCCTGCCCGGCTGCCAAACTGTACATTGAATTCGGGATTCAGAAAATACCGGTAAAGAGTTCAAAATCACAAGTCCATTTTTTAAAACTTTATCAGTGATCACATTATTTACAGATGAAGATTGTTAATTCTCGAGATAGAAAGGAGGCAGGAATAAAAATCCACATTTGTGCCTTCAGCATCTACCCTGGGGCATGCTCAGAAGCCTTCCCTGAAAGAAAGAAGCCACGAGAAACTTGTGAATCATAGACATAGAAAAACCTGCATCCAGAAAGAAAGAAAGCAGAGGGGGAATCTTAGTGGACTGATTTGGGCCCTCGACTCAGCAGGGAATGAAGCCAGCTCCACCCTCAGAGGTCAGAGTGATGGGAGAAGTGCTCTGAGCCTTTTTATTACGTTAGGCTCTTTTGTGTCAGATCTTTGTCATCTGCAAACAGAGGAAGCCTGTTTAATGCCGTCCTGGTCCAGTATGGAATAGGGTGGCAAACGTGTTATTCTTAACAGAGAATGAAGAGATGTACCAAAATGATCAAGTGCCCTCAGAGATCTCAGAGTCTTTTTCTGTGCAACACGCTGTGTTAGAAGCATCAGGAAATAAAAAGGGGTGTCAGAGAATACATCAGGTTCCTATTGCTGCTCTAACAAATTACCACAATCTTAGGGGCTTAAAACAACCCAAATGTATTGTCTTACAGTTCCAACAATCAGACCCAGGGCTTGCTGGGCTAATATCATGGTGTCAGCGGGGCTGAATTCCCCTCTCAGGCTGCCCGGGAGAAGTGGTTTTCTTGTTGTCTCTGGCATCTAGAGGCTTCTCGAGTTCCTGGTCTGTGGCCCTTTCCCCTCTTCAAAACCAGCGGCAACAGGTGGGGCCTGCAAGGCACCTCTTTCTCTTCCTCTTCTGCCTCCCCCTTCCACATTGGCACCCTTGTGATTGCATTGGATCCACCCAAACATTCCAGGATCATCCCCACCTCCAAGTCCTGAATTTAATCAGATGTGCAAAAACTCTTTAGTCATGTAAGACAGCATCCATGGATACTAGGAACTGGGACCTGAACCTCATTGAGGGGCCATTATTCTGCTTTCCACATAAAATGTACTTGCCAAGAACTTCGGCTCTACAAAGGAGATAGTAGAAAATGTCACTGGCACACGCACACTTTGACCCTCCCCCCACACTCACAGGCACACACACAGTGGGTAATATGTCAATAATGAGCAGTGCATGGGGCAGAGAACCAGAGCAAAATCCTGTGTGCTTGAGGAAACCTGTCCTGCTCATCCCTCAGTTTTCTTCTATCAACACTCGCTGAGCCTGGAGCAGGTTTAAAGCTCCACTGTAGGTGTTGAAAGCACGAAGGTGGATTTTTGTCCCTGTCTTTCAAACCCTGTCTGTAACACAATGTGAGAATTGATCACGTTTAAAAAAGTGGATTTGTGATTTTGAACTCTCAATCGATAGCCACTGAATCCTGAATTCAATACATAATCTTGTTATTTTTGAAGCACCCAGACCACAAAAACACATTCTTTAAAAGTCAACTTTCATGGAGCAGTCTAATAGAAAAGACTTCAAATTCGGGAACATTTCATATTTAGATTCAGTGATCTTCTAATTCATCAGCCACATCACTTTGAATCTATTTAGATTCACATGCATATGTTAAATTTATACTTTACACTTGTACTTGTAATTTGTGGAATTAGAATAATTTAAATATTGATACATGTAAATCTGCACTGAACTCCCTTGCAAAGGACTGTATCTTCAAATATTCTCAGAGTGAGATCAAGCATGAAAGAGATTCCATTCTTCTAACACATTTCAGGCAAACATCCCACATTGGGAAGTGTGGAGAGCCAGAGAGCAAGAAGATTTTCTGTTATGTGAGATGAGTGGAACATGCTCTATGTTATGTTCATGAAAGGGAAAAGGAAAATCATAC